AATCAAATGAAAGTCAAACACATTCAAACAAAGCTATTTGAATCAAATGAGAGTTAAATAAATTCAAAGCTATTTGAATCAAATGAAAGTCAAATACATTCACAAAGCTAAAGAATCAAATGAAAGTCAAACACATTCACAAAGCTAATTGAATCAAATGAAAGTCAAACACATTCAAACAAAGCTAATTGAATCAATGAAAGTCAAACACATTCAAACAAAGCTATTTTAATTAAATGAATGTCAAAAATCAAACATTCTACAAAGCTATTTGAATCAAATGAAAGTCAAACACATTCAAACAAAGCTATTTGAACATTAAATGAAAGTCAAATACAAATTTACAAGAGCTACATTGAATCAAATGAAAGTCAACACATTTCAAACAAAGCTATTTGAATCAAATGAAAGTCAAATACAATTCTAAAAAAGCTAATTGAATCAAATGAAAGTCAAACACATTCAACAAAGCTATTTAATCAAATGAAAGTCAAATACATTCTACAAAGCTAATTGTATCAAATGAAAAGCACATCAAACGCAATCAAATTAAAGCTATTTAGACAAATGAAAATTGTCAAACACATTCAAACAAAGTTGTTTGAATTCAAATGAAGTAAATTCATTCTACAAAGCTAATTGAATCAAATGAAAAGTCAAACAGCATTCAAACAAAGCTATTTGAATCAAAATGAAAGTCAAAATACATTCTACAAAGCTAATTGAATCAAATGAAAGTCAAACACATTCAAACAAAGCTTATTTTGTGACATTCAAAAAAAGTTAATAAATATCATTCTACAAAGCTAATTGAAATCAAAATGAAAGTCAAACATAATTGACATTCAAACAACACAAAGCTATTTGAATCAAATGAAAGTCAAATACATTCTACAAAAGCAAATTGAATCAAATGAACAGTGAAAACACATTCAAACAAAGCTATTGAATCAAATGAAGAGTCAAAATACATTCTACAAAGCTAATTGAATCAAAATGAAAGTTCAAACACATTCAAACAAAGCTATTTGAATCAAAGAAAGTTAAATACATTCTACAAAGCTAATTGAATAAATGAAAGTCAAACACATTCAAACAAAGCTAATTTGAATCAAATGAAAGTCAAATAACATTCTAACAAAGCTAAATTGAATCAAATGAAAGTCAAACACATTCAAAGCTATTAATCAAATAAGTCAAATACATTCAACAAAGCTAAATTGAATCAAATGAAAGTTCAAACACATTCAAACAAAGCTAATTGATTCAAATGAAAGTCAAACACATTCAAAACAAAGCTATTTAATCAAATGAAAGTCAAATACATTCTACAAAGCTAATTGAATCAAATGAAAGTCAAACACATTTGAATCAAATAAAAGTCAAATACTTCTCAAAGCTTTGAATCAAATGAAAGTCAAACACATTCAAACAAAGCTATTTGAATCAAATTGAAAGTCAAATACATTCTACAAAGCTATTGATCAAATTGAAAGTCAAACATTAAACAAAGCTATTTGAAATCAAATGAAAGTCAAACACATTCAAACAAAGCTATTTGAATCAAATGAAAGTCAACACATTCAAACAAGCTAATTAATCAAATGAAAGTCAAACACATTCACAAAGCTATTTGAATCAAATGAAAGTCAAACATTCAAACAAAGCTAATTGAATCAAATGAAAGTCAAAACATTCTAAAAAAAGCTAATTGAATCAAATGAAAGTCAAACACATTCAACAAAGCTATTTGAATCAAATGAAAGTCAAATACATTCTACAAAGCTAATTGAATCAAATGAAAGCAAAAATTCACAAAGCTATTTTGAACAAATGAAAGTCAAACACATTCAAACAAAGCTATTTGAATCAAAATGAAAGTCAAACACATTCAAACAAAAGCTATTTGAATCAAATGAAAGTCAAATACATTCTACAAAGCTAATTGAATCAAATGAAAGTCAAACACATTCAAACAATAGTTAATTTGAAAGATACCAAATGAAAGTCAAACACATTCAAACAAAGCTAATTGAATCAAATGGAAAGTCAAACACATTCAAACAAATTATTTGAATCAAATGAAGTCAAATACATTCTACAAAGCTAATTGAATTCAAATGAAAGTCAAAACACATTCAAAACAAAAAGCTATATTATGAATCAAAATTAAAAGTCAAATACATTCAAACAAAGCTAATTGAATCAAATGAAAGTCAAAATAAACATTCAAACAAAGCTATTGAATCAAATGAAAGTCAAATACATTCTACAAAGCTAATTGAATCAAATGAAAGTCAAACACATTCAAAAAAAGCTATTTGAATCAAATGAAAGTCAAATACATTCTACAAAGCTAATTGAATCAAATGAAAGTCAAACAGCATTCAAATCAAAGCTATTTGAATCAAATGAAAGTCAAACACATTCAAACAAAGTTGTTTAAATTAAAATAAAAGTGAAAAATGATATTCAACAAAGCTAATTGAATCAAATGAAAGTTAAACACATTCAAACAAAGCTATTTGAATCAAATGAGAGTCAAATACATTCTAACAAAGCTAATTGAATCAAATGAAAAGTCAAACACATTCAAACAAAGCTATTTGAATCAAAATGAAAAAGTCAAATACATTCTACAAAGCTAATTGAATCAAATGAAAGTCAAACACATTCAAACAAAGCTATTTGAATCAAATGAAAGTCAAATACATTCTACAAAGCTAATTGAATCAAATGAAAGTCAAACACATTCAAACAAAGCATAAATGAATCAAATAAAAGTTAAACACATTCAAACAAAGCTAATTGAATCAAATGAAAGTCAAACACATTCAAACAAAGCTATTTAATCAAATGAAAGTCAAAATACATTCAAACAAAGCTAATATTGAATTCAAAATGAAAGTCAAACACATCAAACAAAGCTATTTTAATTAAATGAAAGTCAAATACATTCTACAAAAGCTAATTGAATCAAATGAAAGTCAAACACATTCAAACAAAGCTATTTGAATTAAATGAAAGTCAAAAATACATTCTACAAAGCTAATTGAATCAAATGAAAGTCAAACACATTCAAACAAAGCTATTTGAATCAAATGAAAGTCAAATAAATTAAACAAAGCTATGAATCAAATGAAAGTCAAATACATTCTACAAAGCTAATTGAATCAAATGAAAGTCAAACACATTCACAGCTGACCAAGATGGTCAAGGGTCACTCATCCATGGTCAAGATAAGGAAGTCCAATACGGTGCTAGTGAGCAAGGTACTGAGGGAATCTTTTTGTCCAAATCATTCTTCAATCCAATGCACGGTTTTAGTCCAAAGAGTTTAACAAATGGTTACACTTCTCTTAGTGTAACTAATCTTGTTGAAGGCATCTAGTTAATGTGTCGTTTTTCCAAGCTTGAAGCCACGCATGATTGATGCATTTGAGAGTTACATTGGACTGATTATGAAGGCGTGATTCAAGGCTTGTGTTGGGCGTGAATTAAGGCATTGGTTGGCTGATTATTCTACCTCTTTACTTGGGGGTTATTTGTACTTAATTAGAGAGTTGTTGCTGGAATAAAGGAGCTTGAATCAAGGGTTTAAATGGGAGGTTACAAGCGTGACTCAAGGGGGCTGTTTGCACGTTTCTTGGACGTTGAAGATGCTCTTTGAAGACTTCATGTTTGCTGAACGTTTCCTCTTTAATTTAAGCATAGTTTTTAAGCTTAATTGAGTAGTTTTATTTTGTTGTTATGAGGGATTAATTGGACGGTTATATGAGCCTTTTAATCACCTTATAGTTAGTATCTTATTTTGTCTTTTAAATTAGGCAAGTGATGGATGATCATTAAAAGTTGTAAAGAGGAATCCCATGTTCCTTTATGTAACTTATACACTACTATAAATAGTGTGCTATGCATGAATGAAAAGTATCCAGAAATTTGCTTAAACACTTGTGTTTTGATTGATTAAACGTGACTTAGTAACTAGTCATTTTTAAGGTCCAAGTTTGTTAGCTCAAATTTGAAGAGTGCTAGTTTTGGTAGAGTGTTCCCAAACCTAGGAGCTTGCGTAGTGAACGAGTGGGTTGAGTGTTCCCTATTCCTAACTACACCAAGCAAAGGGTGAGTGTTCCCCTTTGTTATATCCGAAACTAGGGTGAGTGTTCCCCTATTTTCACCTTCATTGTTCACGATTTCACTAAGACCCCTTAAAACATACTTTTGTAACAAGGTTCTCATCTTGTTTACACATCATTTGGCGCGTCAGGTAGGGGGTGTTTTTCTAAACATTTCCTAAGGGGTCGAATACCTACATACCATGGGAGAAAACCCGGACTTAAGGACAGCGTTGGAAGCTCTTAATCGATCCATTGCTAGTCAAGAAAGGTTGGCCGAAACCAATGCCAATCTACAAGGGAACCTTGCTGCCTTGATGGCAAGGCTCATGAACGAGCAAGATAGGAGAGATCAAAATGAGGACCCTCCACCTAGGAGGGAGGATAGAAGCCTCAAAGTGGACGTTCCTTCTTTTGATGGGACACTTGATCCAGAGAAGTACTTGGAATGGGAGAAATCCTTGGAGAGGTACTTTGAATATAAGGACATTCATGAGGATGTTCAACGTTTTAAGATTGCCAAGGTCAAGCTTAAAGGCTATGGTGATAGTTGGCTACAAGGAGAGCAAAGGGGACGTGCCCTTAGGGGGAAAGCTCCTATCTCTACTTGGGGCAAACTCAAGAAACGGATGAAAGACCGTTTCATCCCACACAATTACAAGCAAAGTCAATATGTGAAGTGGAGTACCTTGCAACAAAATGGGGACTCTGTGGAGGATTACATAAAAGAGTTTGATAGACTTGCTATTGTGTGTGAAGTAACCGAAAATGAAGAGCTCAAGATGGGGCGTTTCGTATCTGGTTTGGACCAAGAATTACAAGACAAACTTGAAGGTTATACTAACCTCACGTTTGTTGAAGCTTGCAAATTGGTGATTAAGTTCGATGCTAAGAGGAAAAAAGAAGAAGCCTACTACCATCCCTCAATTGGCACGAAAACCTTCTTTCCCTACAAAGGAAGGGTCTTCCTTCAACAGACCGAGTAATCCACCAAAGAAGGACACCAAGGACGTGAAGCTAGGTGACATTGTGTGTTACAAATGTGGAGGACGAGGTCATTACAAGAAGGATTGTCCTAATACTAGGGCGTTAACCATACAAGAGGTTAAGCTCATGGCCACTCAAAACATCAACTGGGATGAGTTTGAGGAGGAGGAAGAAGAAGTTGAAGATGATTGTGATGATTGCATGGCCGAGCCAGAGGGGAAGACTAGCCTCGTGATTAGGAGGGCCTTGCAAGCACGTGTGGAAGAGCATGCTGCCCCCCAACGCCAACACATTTTCATCACCCGTTGTAGAATTGGTGACGAGGTATGTGATTTGATTATTGATGGAGGGAGTGAGGCTAATACCGTGTCTAAGACCTTAGTATCTAAACTTGGTCTAACTACTACTAATCATCCACAACCTTACAAGTTGAGTTGGTTAGATTCAAATGCTAGCACCGGGGTTAGGAAGCAATGCATGGTTTCTTTTTGTGTTGGTTCATATTGTGATTCTATATTATGTGATGTTGTGTCTATGGATGCTTGTCATATTCTACTTGGTAGGCCTTGGCAAACGGATAAAAAATCTATACATGATGGGTATCACAATACGTATACCATAGTCCATGAAGGGAGGAAGAAAAAACTACACCCTTTACCACCCCCACGGTTTTCACCATCACAAAACCCCACAAAAAGAAGTATCCTTGTTGTCTCTTAAAGAGTTTGAGAGGGAGTTGGAAGGTGAGGGAGAGTTGTTCATGCTGTACTCCAAGGAAACCCACGAAAAATTTGTTGCTCATAATCCTAGGTTAGCCCAATTGATTAAGGATTTTGAGGACGTTTTTCCGGATGAATTACCTAAAGGACTACCACCCATACGAGGAATTGAGCATCAAATTGATCTCATTCCCGGAGCACCCTTGCCAAATAAACCAGCCTATAGATGTAACCCTTTAGAAACTAAGGAGTTACAACGACAAATTGAAGAGCTAATGGGTATGGGTTATGTGCGTGAGTCCATGAGTCCATGTGCCGTTCCTGCTTTGTTGGTCCCTAAGAAAGATGGTACTTGGAGAATGTGTATTGATAGTAGAGCCGTTAATAACATTACCATCAAGTACAGGTTTCCAATTCCAAGGCTTGATGACATGCTTGATGAGCTGAGTGGTTCCAAGGTCTTCTCAAAAGTAGACTTGAGAAGTGGGTATCATCAAATTCGCATGAGAGAAGGGGATGAATGGAAGACTGCGTTCAAGACAAAGCATGGGTTGTATGAGTGGCTCGTCATGCCATTTGGCCTTACAAATGCCCCTAGCACGTTCATGAGATTAATGAATGAAGTGCTAAGGCCATTTCTTGGCAAGTTTGTGGTAGTATACTTGGATGACATTCTCATTTATTCACGTGATGAAGAAGCTCATTTTGATCATCTTTTTCAAGTATTTTCTGTTTTAAGACAAGAAAAATTGTATGGGAAACTAGAAAAATGTGATTTTTTATTGTATGAAGTCATGTTTCTTGGCTATATAGTTTCAGGTGATGGCGTGAAGGTAGACCCTAGCAAAATTGAAGCAATTCAATCATGGCCTAGTCCGAAGACACTCACGGAAGTTCGTTCATTTCATGGACTTGCTTCTTTCTATAGAAGATTTATCAAGAATTTTAGCACACTCATGGCTCCCATAACTGAGTGTACTAAGAAGGGGACGTTTGAATGGACTACTCAAGCTCAAAAGGCCTTTGAAGAAGTCAAGGAGAAAATGTGCAACACTCCTATTCTCGCACTTCCTGATTTTTCCAAGCCATTTGAAGTTGAGTGTGACGCAAGTGGAAAAGGTATTGGTGCCGTGTTGATTCAAGGTGGGCGTCCTATTGCCTACTTTAGTGAGAAGATGAGTCAAGGCAAGTTGAATTACTCCACCTATGACAAAGAGTTCTATGCTATGGTAAGAGCTCTAGAACATTGGTCACATTATTTGAGACCACAACCTTTCATTTTGCATTCCGATCATGAATCATTGAGGTTCATACATGGTCAAAAGAAGCTGAACGCAAGACACGCAAAGTGGGTCGAATTTTTACAAACATTTAACTTTTCCTCTAAATACAAGAGTGGGAAAGCTAATGTGGTTGCGGATGCCTTGTCTAGAAGACATAATTTGCTTGGAATGGTTGAAGCAAAGGTACTTGGGTTCGATTTGATCAAGGAGTATTATCAAGAAGATGATGAACTCAAGGGGATAATTGAAAAATGTGTCCATGGAGTCTATGATCTGTTTTCCTTACATAATGGTTTTCTTTTTAAAGGAAATAGATTATGTATTCCAAAATGTCCCATTAGAAGTTTGTTGATACATGAAGCTCATGGGGGAGGACTAGCTGGTCACGTTGGTATTCACAAGACAATGGAGCTTCTCCAAGCTCACTTTTATTGGCCGAAAATGTTAGCCACGGTTCATCGTGTGGTGAGTCGTTGTTCTACTTGTCAAAGAGCAAAAATGGTGTTTCACAAAGGTCTCTACAAGCCCTTGCCAATTCCCGAAAGACCTTGGGAAGATGTTAGTATGGATTTTATTGTAGCTTTGCCTAGAACTCAAAGAGGCAAGGATTCAATAATGGTGGTGGTTGATCGGTTCTCAAAAATGGCTCACTTCATTCCTTGCCATAAAACTGAAGATGCAATGAAAGTGGCTAAGTTATATTTTGAAGAGGTGGTTCGTTTTCATGGGGTGCCACGCACCATTGTGTCGGATCGTGATACTAAGTTCCTAAGTCATTTTTGGGAGTCTATGTGGCGTTTGATGGGAACCAAGTTGTTGTTTTCTACCTCACATCATCCACAAACTGATGGTCAAACGGAGGTGGTGAATAGAATACTTGGTTCGTTGCTTAGGGCTTTGGTGAGCAAAAGTACCAAAGATTGGGATAATAAGCTTGCTCATGCCGAGTTTGCTTATAATAGGACACCTAGTGCTACTACAAAGTATTCTCCTTTTGAAGTAGTCTATGGCGTCAATCCTTATGTTCCCATTGATCTTATTTCTTTGCCAAAAGACAAGTTCGTTCATGGTGGGGCAAAGGAGCAAGCCGAGTTCATGCTTAAAGTCCATAAAGAAGTTCGAAGAAACATTGAAAAGGCAAATGAAATCTACAAGAAACAAGCCAACAAACGAGTGCGAAATGTGAAGTCTTTTGAAGTTGGGGACTTGGTGTGGATTTACATGAGGAAAGAACGTTTTCCTAGCAAAAGGAAGAACAAGCTTATGCCAAGAGCCGAGGGTCCGTTTGAGGTCATGGAAAAGATCAATGACAACGCATACAAAGTTGATTTGGGAGGCCAATATGGTGTCTCAAGTACATTCAACATTGGTGATCTTGCTCCTTACTTTGATGATGACGAATTGAGGGCAATTCCTTTTGAAGAAGGGGAGGATGACCAAGATGGTCAAGGGTCACTCATCCATGGTCAAGATAAGGAAGTCCAATACGGTGCTAGTGAGCAAGGTACTGAGGGAATCTTTTTGTCCAAATCATTCTTCAATCCAATGCACGGTTTTAGTCCAAAGAGTTTAACAAATGGTTACACTTCTCTTAGTGTAACTAATCTTGTTGAAGGCATCTAGTTAATGTGTCGTTTTTCCAAGCTTGAAGCCACGCATGATTGATGCATTTGAGAGTTACATTGGACTGATTATGAAGGCGTGATTCAAGGCTTGTGTTGGGCGTGAATTAAGGCATTGGTTGGCTGATTATTCTACCTCTTTACTTGGGGGTTATTTGTACTTAATTAGAGAGTTGTTGCTGGAATAAAGGAGCTTGAATCAAGGGTTTAAATGGGAGGTTACAAGCGTGACTCAAGGGGGCTGTTTGCACGTTTCTTGGACGTTGAAGATGCTCTTTGAAGACTTCATGTTTGCTGAACGTTTCCTCTTTAATTTAAGCATAGTTTTTAAGCTTAATTGAGTAGTTTTATTTTGTTGTTATGAGGGATTAATTGGACGGTTATATGAGCCTTTTAATCACCTTATAGTTAGTATCTTATTTTGTCTTTTAAATTAGGCAAGTGATGGATGATCATTAAAAGTTGTAAAGAGGAATCCCATGTTCCTTTATGTAACTTATACACTACTATAAATAGTGTGCTATGCATGAATGAAAAGTATCCAGAAATTTGCTTAAACACTTGTGTTTTGATTGATTAAACGTGACTTAGTAACTAGTCATTTTTAAGGTCCAAGTTTGTTAGCTCAAATTTGAAGAGTGCTAGTTTTGGTAGAGTGTTCCCAAACCTAGGAGCTTGCGTAGTGAACGAGTGGGTTGAGTGTTCCCTATTCCTAACTACACCAAGCAAAGGGTGAGTGTTCCCCTTTGTTATATCCGAAACTAGGGTGAGTGTTCCCCTATTTTCACCTTCATTGTTCACGATTTCACTAAGACCCCTTAAAACATACTTTTGTAACAAGGTTCTCATCTTGTTTACACATCAGCCTTTTAAATCAAATGAAAGTCAAACACATTCAAAAAAAGCTTTTTAATTTAAATGAAAGTCAAACACATTCAAACAAAGCTATATAAATCAAATGAAAGTGAAATGCATTCTACAAAGCTAATTGAATTAAAAGAAATTCAAACACATTCAAATAAAGCTATTTGAATCAAATGACAGTCAAATACATTCTACAAAGCTAATTAAATCAATTGAAAGTCAAACACATTCAAACAAAGCTATTTGAATCAAATGAAAATCAAATACATTCTACAAAGCTAATTGAAACAAATGAAAGTCAAACACATTCAAACAAAGCTAACTGAATCAATGAAAGTCAAACACATTCAAACAAAGCTAATTGAATCAAATGAAAGTCAAACACATTCAAACAAAGATTTCGAATGAAATGAAAATCAAATACATTCTACAAAGCTAATTGAATCAAATGAAATTCAAACACATTCAAACAAAGCTATTTGAATCAAATGAGAGTCAATTAAATTCAAACAAAGCTAATTAAATCAAATAAAAGTGAAATACATTTTACAAAGCTATTTGAGTCAAATGAAAGTCAAACACATTCAAACAAAGTTGTTTAAATTAAATGAAAGTGAAATGTGTTCTACAAAGCTAATTGAATCAAATGAAAGTTAAACGCATTCAAACTAAGCTATTTGAATCAAATGAAAGTCAAATACATTCAACAAAGCTAATTGAATCAAATGAAAGTCAAACACATTCAAACAAAGCTAATTGAAACAAATGAAAGTCAAGCACATTCAAACAAAGCTATTTTAATCAAATGAAAGTCAAATACATTCTACAAAGCTAATTGAATCAAATGAAAGTCAAACACATTCAAACAAAGCTATTTGAATCAAATGAAAGTCAAGCACATTCAAACAAAGCTATTTGAATCAAATGAGAGTCAAATACATTCAAACAAAGCTAATTAAATCAAATAAAAGTCTATTACATTCTACAAAGCTAATTGAATTAAATTAAAGTCAAACACATTCAAACAAAAATAATTGAATTAAATGAAAGTCAAACACATTCAAACAAAGATTTCGAATCAAATGAAAGTCAAACACATTCAAACAAAGCTAATTGAATCAAATGAAAGTCAAACACATTCAAACAAAGATTTCGAATCAAATGAAAATCAAATACATTCTACAAAGCTAATTGAATCAAATGAAATTCAAACACATTCAAACAAAGCTATTTGAATCAAATGAGAGTCAAATAAATTAAAACAAAGCTAATTAAATCAAATAAAAGTAAAATACATTCTACAAAGCTAATTGAATCAAATGAAAGTCAAACACATTCAAACAAAGCCTTTAATTTAAATGAAAGTCAAATACATTCAAACAAAGCTATATTAATCAAATGAAAGTGAAATGCATTCTACAAAGCAAATTGAATTAAATGAAATTCAAACTCATTCAAACAAAGCTATTTGAATCAAATGAAAGTCAAATACATTCAACAAAGCTAATTGAATCAAATGAAAGTCAAACACATTCAAACAAAGCTAATTGAATCAAATGAAAGTCAAGCACATTCAAACAAAGCTATTTTAATCAAATGAAAGTCAAATACATTCTACAAAGCTAATTGAATCAAATGAAAGTCAAACACATTCAAACAAAGCTATTTGAATCAAATGAAAGTCAAACACATTCAAACAAAGCTATTTGAATCAAATGAGAGTCAAATACATTCAAACAAAGCTAATTAAATCAAATAAAAGTCTAATACATTCTACAAAGCTAATTGAATTAAATTAGAGTCAAACACATTCAAACAAAGCTAATTAAATTAAATGAAAGTCAAACACATTCAAACAAAGAATTCGAATCAAATGAAAGTCAAATACATTCTACAAAGCTAATTGAATCAAATGAAAGTCAAACACATTCAAATAAAGCTATTTGAATCAAATGAAAGTCAAATACATTCTACAAAGCTAATTGAATCAAATGAAAGTCAAACACAATTAAACAAAGCTATTTGAATCAAATCAGAGTCAAATAAATTCAAACAAAGCTAATTAAATAAAATAAAAGTAAAATACATTCTACAAAGCTAATTGAATCAAATGAAAGTCAAACACATTCAAACAAAGTCTTTTAAATCAAATGAAAGTCAAACACATTCAAAAAAAGCTTTTTAATTTAAATGAAAGTCAAACACATTCAAACAAAGCTATATAAATCAAATGAAAGTGAAATGCATTCTACAAAGCAAATTGAATTAAATGAAAGTCAAACACATTCAAACAAAGCTATTTGAATCAAATGAAAGTAAAATACATTCTAAAAAGCTAATTGAATCAAATGAAAGTCAAACACATTCAAACAAAGCCTTTTAAATCAAATGAAAGTCAAACACATTAAAAAAAAGCTTTTTAATTTAAATGAAAGTCAAACACATTCAAACAAAGCTATATAAATCAAATTCAAGTGAAATGCATTCTACAAAGCAAATTGAATTAAATGAAATTCAAACACATTCAAACAAAGCTATTTGAATCAAATGACTGTAAAATACATTCAACAAAGCTAATTGAATCAATTGAAAGTCAAACACATTAAAACAAAGCTATTTGAATCAAATGAAAGTAAAATATATTCTACAAAGCTAATTGAATCAAATGAAAGTCAAACACATTCAAACAAAGCCTTTTAAATCAAATGAAAGTCAAACACATTCAAAAAAAGCTTTTTAATTTAAATGAAAGTCAAACACATTCAAACAAAGCTATATAAATCAAATGAAAGTGAAATGCATTCTACAAAGCTAATTGAATTAAAAGAAATTCAAACACATTCAAATAAAGCTATTTGAATCAAATGACAGTCAAATACATTCTACAAAGCTAATTAAATCAATTGAAAGTCAAACACATTCAAACAAAGCTATTTGAATCAAATGAAAATCAAATACATTCTACAAAGCTAATTGAAA